CTGTCCCTTATGGAATCCCAAACAGTGGTTACTCTGCCAGCTAGTAAGTACCTTTAGGGCAGCTGCCACTCTCAAAGCAGAGAACAGGTTTCTCCAGTTGTCCTCTGGTGAATCGCCACTCCCACTGACACCAATGGTGGGTGGAACATTGACCAGATAGGTAATTGGGTTCCTTTCAGAGACAGATCTCTGGTTGCATGGAACTAGCAGAAACTGAGGTGACAACTGAGGGTTCATGGCCAGGGCTACTCTCTGGCAGATACCCAAAGGTCCCTCAGAAGAAACTAGCTCCCGACAGCCCATCTGGGTAATCAGCAGAAAATCTCCACATCTTGTCCCTATCTGGACTCCTTAGTGAGGTGAAAGGGGAACTCTGCCAGTGATCATCAGACATCCTCTGTCTCAGAGTGTTCTGAAACAATGCCATCAGAGCTCTTTCTTAAGGCTCTGTTAAGAGTTGAACTATAGGCCAGGATTTAGCTCAGTGGCTCTGCTGCCTTCCTTGAAAGTGAAAGGTCCTGAGTTCAATCCCCAGCACCAAAAAATAAACTAAAAAACAAACAAACAAACAAATAAATAAATAAATAGAGTTGAGCTACAGGTTTGGACTGCTTTCTCTACTACTATTAAGATAGACCTGTAGACAACTGTAAAAAACCCTGAATCCTCGATAGATTAAAAGCTACCTGAATCTTTTCTCCCCGCATGCATGGTCTTCATCATTTATCTGCATAGGGGAGAAAAATACCTTTGCCGATAGGTTATCACATTTATTGATAACCTTTATCATTGAAAGAATCTAAGAGCCACCAGGTTACAATCACTATTTCAATTTCTAAGTGTGACTTTCTCCCCAACCTGCCCTTCCATTCTAGTGTGCTCATGCTTAGATTATACATGCTCTAATTTCTTAAAAGTTTTGTTTATTCTTGCCTAGAGGCTGCCAAACTCCAAGCAGTCATACAAATGAAACCATGACAAATGTGCTAGAATTCTTTTACCGGAATCCACCAGATCAACCTCGTAAACAGATTATAACTGCTAAACTATACGATATGGCTTCTATGTTGTATTTTGAAGTCTCCTGGACCTGCTCCTTATCTACTTCCTCCCAGTGGAAACACTTGTTGGCTATATTCATAGCACTCCTGCTGACCTTATAATTTGGCCCATGTATTCTTAACTGTTTCTTTGGCTTTGTCTCCTCCAGACTCGAAGCTATACAGCTACCAAGATGACAATGCCAGGCACCTATCGAAGGTCTTTAGATAGACCCTCTGCAGAGTAACTTTAACTGCTGATTGCAACTACGATCCTCCTCAGAGGAAGAGGGTCCAAAGAGGGTCCTTTGCCCCCTCACAGCAGTTAGGCGTACTACTTCAGAGGGGGGAATATTGGAGATAGGCAAGTTAATTAGATATTTGTAGACAGTTAGACAGGGCCAGCCCAGAAGGAGCCAACATGGAGATCAAGACACATTCACTGAAGGCCAGAATTGTAAAAGGAAATCACCACATCCACGTAGGATGAATAGCAGTGACTGATATTCCAAATAGGTATCGATCACCTGGGTGGGGGACAAAAATCTTCCAAGAAAGATCCCTGACCCAACCCTTCCACCGAAAATCCTTGCTCATTCCTTGTATGCTTGCTACATGACTTGTTTCTCCATTGGATCCCCATTTAATCAGTATTACCTGGGTGACTGTACTCGTAATCTTACTGGTTGGTCATGGTTTTGTCCCACCTCATGCCCACCTTGTAAATTTCCATTGGGTCTTAAAAGTTTTGTCCCACTTTGTACCCGCCTCACCACACGGCTTTGCTGTATAAAATATCTTTGAAAAATGGGGTGAGGGGGCAACCCATTTTCTGGTCCCTCTTCTGTCTCTCTTAGAAGCTATCTTTCTCTCAATAAATTTTCCTACTCTTAAAAAAAATTTATTATTTTTTCCCAAATTATAGAATTTTTACTGCTTTAAAATACTATACAAAAATACACTATGTATATTTTAACAGATCCACAAATGATCCAAAGTAAATGTTTCTTCTATGTTTCAATAATTGAGTTGCTAGGATAATCCACTTAATGAGTTGTCATCATGATTATTTTGATCTCATAAGCTTATTTCCCACAAACTCCATAATTTAAGACGACTGCTTTATGTAAGGAGGTATTTTCGTCGATTACACTTTTTGAGTCCTTAAATATCTGAGATTTCATAAATATCAGATTTCTCTTTCCTGTTTTGTTACAATGTTAAACACAAAACTGTAAGAGTAGCCAGGGTTACTTTCCGGTAGTCCTACTAATCACTGTTTCAAATTTCTTAAATACCTGAATTCATAATACTAAATCTGCCACAAAGAACGCTGTGAATAATATTTCTGAATCCATATTTATTTTTCTGAATTCATCCTCTTTTTACTTCTAAGAGCAGAGTACTGTATAACAGATTAAATAATTTTATATTAGGAAGGTGTCTAAGAAAGGGAGTTTCCCATTTCTTTTACAGCTATCCCCAATTCTCACCTACAGAGACCCAACCCACTTCCCACACCTATTTTTATCATTTTTCCTCCTATGGTGTACAGAAAGAGTTGAAGATATTTCTCTTACCTAAATAAATTGCCATTGTTGATAGATAGGGACAGAGCAGGACACCCAAGAAACAATATGATGAAGAGAAGATGTTAGAACAACAACAAAAAACCCACCTTGAAAGAAAAACTAATTTAACAGGTATGTTAAATAACTACAATATTTCTATAAAGTGACAAATTTCTACAGATTTGCTCTTCTGGGACAAAACGTCAACAACCTTTGCTTTAAGCACCTAGAAGGAAATTATTTAAAATGTTAGCCTGATTTCATTAAGCAGTGATTTAAAACTGACAGTAAAATATTGTTTTTAAAGTACAGACACGGGGCCAGGGATTTAGCTCAGTGGTACAGACACTAGAAGACTTTTTTTTTTGGTACCGGGGATCGAACTCTGGACCTTGCACTTGCGAGGCAGGTGTTGGCACCACTGAGCTAAATCCCTGGCTCTAGATGACTCTTTAATACAACAAGCTATTTCCAGATCACTGGCTTCATAATAACTATTGAGACCTATACTGATCTACAGAATTTATTAAGCTTTGCACATGCAATAGAGCATAGTTTCAGTTGCATCCAAAGTGCTAACAAAAGCTCTAGCAATCAAGAATGGCAGCTTGTCATTTTATAACAATCAGCACTGTGGCTGTTCAAATTTGGTTTTCAGAAGAATTTATTTTCAAGTAAATCTAGTCATCCTTTTAAAAATTGTTTTAGGTCACTCCAAGCTTGGCAATTAACATTTGGCATAAACAATAAAACAATCACAACTTGATAAATAACAGATAACATTGTAGGCTATAAACATATAGCACAAGGAAATGGTGCTGCTGGTGCTAAATCAGTAGTTATTAGAGGTACTAGAGGACCTTGGCCTCTATGCAGAAGGTTTGATTCACTAGCCTGGACACCCAGTTTTCAAAGTAGGAGCAATATCTACAGTAGCATTTCTAACATTGCAAACAAGTAGAGAATGAATTGATTTTTATTAATAAATTACACCTTAAGGAGTTATCACCAACACTTTAGTATAAAAATGTTCAAGTTATATCAGTTATAACTATATGTTTATTTTAAAAGGTGCTAAATAGATTAAATGTTGACAGCTATGCTTCCCCTAATGTGACTGATCTTACTAAGTTTACAGCTATCAAGACCTAAAACACTTCAGGTATCTGAACTGAATATTGATGAGAACACTCATATTTCAAGCTACCAATATGCCTGACTCTTGAATGCACATGCAAGGTGTTTCCTGGGGGTAGAGGTGAAGATATTTTAATTTTAATTCACAAACTATTTGGTCAAAGAAATATGTAAAGCTAAATAAAAGCACATCTGGTAGAAATCCATCACAATAAATCCTGACAAGATATGCTTGGATCTTGCTTGCAGCATCTGGCACTGGGTAGGGGAGCAAAGGTAGCAATCTCACAAGCTCTCCTGTGTCTGTTCTGGAGGTGGCTCCGTGGCAGTGGCACTAGCATCTGCAGTTAAAATTCAAGACTTCTCCAAAATCACTGCCAGCAGACTTGGTTCCTCCTACTTTAGACTTTTTGATGTTTTCTTCAAGTGACTTGAAAGTCTGTGAGTTTTTTTTTTTTTACAGCTTCCAGCTTTTTGGTGATGACACAGCCAACAGATGAAAAGGCCACTGAAGCCTCTGTCCAGCTTGGGATAAGGTTTCAGAAGTCCTCCTGTATGCAGACGTGGCTGTCATCCTGCCCCCTTTGGCAATGTTCCACTTTAGCTCCCAAGTGAACTGATCCCAAGTTTCCACTTGATCTCTGCTAGATGCTTCTCTTTTGCTGCTAGCACTTGAGACAGAGTCTGGATTTCTTCTTCCACCTTTGCCAGCTCTCTTCTCAGCTCGTCCTGCTCTTCTCAGAGCATCTTGGTGGCACTGAGCATAGCTGCCACATCTTCTCCTTCCTCAGGTACTGAGTCTGTCCTCAGTAAACCAAATTTCTGAGCAGGTCAGGTCATCCAGGTGGAAACAAATTCCCCCTAGGGAACAGGTAGAGGTAGTTTTTGTTCACCCCTGAATCGAAATCAAACGAGGACTGGTAGTCTTCAGCTAAGTCCGTGTCTCTGTGATCCATTGCAGGCAGAAGCAGAATACATGGCTTGTCGGTTGCCTGAGATCCCTCTGTAGTCTCGTGCCCCTTTGGCCTTATTCCCTTTGCACCACCATGCAAGCTCACTGAGAATACCTTCCTGGTTTCAAGGCTTGCCTCCGTGTCCCAGCCCAGATTTTAAAAAATTTCAAGAACAAAACTGTATGAACAAATGTATACGTGTATATGTATTGAAGATGTATATACACAGGAACTTTTTAAAGCCTGGAAAGAGGTATATGAAGCCACAACTGTCTTTCTCTCTCCTGTCTCCCTCACAGGCCCCTGCAGAGTAAGACAGCAGAACAGGGAGAACGTGGAATTTTTCAGCTCTATTTTATCATCACTTACGTAATCTTCCAAGAATGTTGTAAAGTAATAAACCTAAATAAGAGGTAGAAAAGCAAAAAAGGAGGAAAAGAACAGAAACCTCACTGGAGTCCCGTCCCCTTCCCCTGCGGTGAGTAAGCCCAGTTTAATGAGTCGTGGGTACTCCACACAGTAAGTTCTCAGCATCATACAAACCGTTTCAGCAGACCTCCAAAGCAATTCTTCTAATCTGGTAGAGAGAGCTAAGTTATGTCCACTTTGTAGCTGGGGACACTGAGCTCAGAGTGCTGTGACTTGTTAAAGGCCCACAGGAAGTGGTGGCCCTGGAGAGATGGAGAAGCCTAGGTCTCTGAGTCCCCACTGCCACCCCCAGGAATGGGGCCAGGTCCAGCCACTGGCTGAAAACCTAAGGACCCATCCCCATCCCGTCTGAGGCCTTGGGCCTCGACTCCTCCAACTCTCTCAGCTTTTCTTCCACTACACAAACCTGGTGTTCTCTCTCCGAAGTCACCTGTATCTTTCTGGATATCCTTTTCTCAAGGCAACATGCTTTATAAAGATCAAGGACTTCGGAGGGATGATGTTGCTCCTACTCCATGGCAGCTTCCCTCTTGGAGCTCGCCTGAAGAGAAGCAGCCTACCTCCTGCAACTGACTGTGGGAGCTAGGCAAGAGTATGTGTGATGCACTTTCTAAAACATAAAGCATGTTACAATAGTGGCTGGTTTTACAAATTAAAACTCTATGCTGGGTGTGGTGGTGCATGCCTGTAATCCCAGCACTTGGGAGGCTGAGGCAGGAGGATCACTGCAAATTTGAGGCCAGCCTGAACTACAGAGTGAGACCCTGTCATAAACAAACAAACCGCCAGCTCTCATTCTGGGAAGGTAGAATAAAACTAGTAGGGAAACCCCAAGTGAGACGATGCTGAATGGAAAAAATCTGATCTGGCCAACAATGTGGGGAAAGCTACTCAGAGTTCAGAGAGCGGGTCAGCCCATCTCAGTTTTTCCTTATCCCAGTCAGGTTTCTTTAGAACCTACTAATGGGCTTAGGGAACCCGAAGTGTCACCAGAGAGATGCCTCAGTGTTGAACACTGAGGGCAGTGAGAACAGAGAAACAAGAAAAACCAGCGCCGGAGATTATACTCCACCCACAGCAAGACACACCAGGCAGGAAGCAGGTTACTGTGTCATATAGGGTTTTGGAGACTGCTATGCAAATTTACTAATATAAGAAGTAATAAAGGAGTAGGTACTGTGAGCAGAGGACCAACTCCTACTATCCCAGTGAAATGTGGCAAAACTCAGCTTGTAAAGAAATGGCAGCAGGAGTGACTGAGAAGGCTCATCTCACCGTGAGAGACAGGGTGGTGGGGCGGCCCGTGGTGGCCGCTGCTCAGCGTGCACGTGGTAATTGTTCCGTCAGGCAGTTTTTCAGTGTGCACCGGACACTGGAAATAGCACATACCTTCTTGCCCAGGAGTTCCAGGTGTAAACTTCCAGCCTAAGAAAATCATCAGCTTCATCATCAGATGTGGATATAGATGTACATATTCACATATTCTTATATATTTGTAGTGACACAAGGAGTTGCAACTCACAGTTCATTATAGTGAAAGTAGAGGAACAGTTAACTACAGAATAAATTAGGAATATATTTAAATGAGAGTATTACACAACCATTAAAATGTTCTGAGGAATATTTGACATGAAGAAATACTCATAATAGCAAATGAAAAAAGCAGGATATAAGCCTTACACAGTTTATCAGCAAATAACATATACACATTTAAGATAATAATAACAATTGCAGCAGTAGCCAAAACTCATTGGATGCCACAAGCCAGGCAGTGTTCAATCACATGGCTCATTTCAATCTCTGCAAGCCCTCAGGGAGGCCTTGTCATCCTCATTTTCAGAGTAAACAGGCACAGGGGCGTGGCCAGTGTGTCCAAAGGCACACAGAGGGGTGGGCATCTCGATGTGGAGCTTCTAACAGGGCCACCCTCGCTCTCCAGCCCTCTACAACACTCCGACAAAATGCTGATCCTGGTCATCCTTGAGGGCTGGGGCCAAAGGGCATGTGACTTTCTTCTTTGCCTCTCCTAAATTTTCAATAGAGACATATTTTTCTCTTGTTAAAATTAGTTTTAACTGAGGCTGGGGAGTTAGCTCAGTGGCACTGTGCTTGCCTTGCAAGTGCAAGGTCCTGAGTTTGATCACTGGTACCAGAAAAAAATTAGTTTTAACTGACACACACCTATATTCTCAGTACTCTGGGAGGCTGAAACAGGAGTACTGCAAGTTCAAGCCCAGCCCAGGCAGAACCTTGTCTCAACATTTAAAATATTAAGTATTTAAAATAATAATTCATATTAAAAATAATTATTTAAAAAAATAATAAGGGCTGGGGATGCATTAGTAGAAGGCCCTGGTTTCAATTCCTATTACTGCAAAATATTAGTTTTAATTATAAAACATGAACATACCAAAAGTATTTCCAAGGGGAGGGTCTTATGTAACCTCAGAGCCAGCTAGAGAGGTGCAGTGGATCAGTCCAAATTTGACTCAGTTAAATTGCAAGGCACCTGCAAAGGCTGGAAGACTAGGCTTAGAGGGAAGGAGAACCTGTTCAACTGGAAACATGTCATGTTTCACCAGGTATTAGGGACAACTGGCTAAGAGGATACTGGACACAGAGATGTGGCATTGAGGAGACAATGGGCTAGAGATACAGATGTGGCATCAGCAGCCGGCAGATAATACAGCAACCACGTCTTCTTTAGGGGAACTACTCACCCAGAGTTGTCAAAGTGCCCTGCCACTGAAAAAGGGGGCACATCTGTCAAGATAGGTGTAAAGGAGAATATTCCTTAAGATTAAAAACTCATACTTTTGTTGTTGATAATTCCTAATTGCTAGACTAGCATGCAGCTCCCCCAGCCATTCAATCAATGACGTTTGTCCCTCAAGGAGCCATTGCTCAGCTCTAAAATTAGAAAGTGATATTCTTGAGTCCACAATGAGATAATACACCGTAATCTTAAAATCTGGCTTTGCTAAGGGAGAAAAAGGTTTACTAATTTCAGAAACATTTCCTTTGTAGATCAACTTAGGGGTGAGGGGACAGGGGTTCTCTGTAAGTCACAGGGTACAGATGACACAATGTAACATTAAAGACAGGTTTCCGCAGAGCAGGAAGGGGAAGAGCCTCCTGGCACTGCCAAGGAGAAAAGCAAGACAAGTTCGGATGCAGGTGTTCTGGTCCAGCCTCCCTGAAGGTCAAATTCCCCATGTGAGGCTGAGGCACCAAGGCAGACCGAGAGGATTCTGGTATCTGCATCCCCAAGCACAGCCAAGGACAGCACTAAGCCACCCAATGACCATGCCATACGCCAAGCTGGACCTAAGCTGCAAAAGCTGCTTTGGGAGATGCTGTGGACAGTTCCAGCTCCCCATTTCCCCTTGAACTGTGGGTGTCATGCAGGTGTAAATACCCCAGTAGTGTCCTAAGTAGACCAAAAGATGAAGAGTCCAGCCAACAAGCTGTGAAGGATATGGCACACGAGGACATTGAATCTAGAAACATTTGCAATTTTCAGGATCCTAAGGAGGTCAAAGCATTGCTCAGGATCTAAATCAGGTCAATCCTGTCTTGCTGGGTTCCTTCATAATCCATGACATCTAGGGACAAGTCTGGAGTGGCCACATGACAGTGAAGACCAGCCAAGGTTAGGGGATAGTATGTGAGCCATGAAGCTCACCTGTCACCCTCTTACGCATCCAGACCTCATCCCAGGAGTATGCAAGAGAGAGAAAAGAAACCCTGACACATCTCATATATATACAAAACAGAGTGTTGTGTGCCCGAAGGGGGCTGAAGTAACCCCTCAAGCTGGAAGAGCACTAGACTGAGGAAAGCGAGACCAGGTGAAAATGCGAAGGAGGCTGAACTGGTTTCACACCTTTGAGGATGAGTGGGTAGGATCTGCCCCTGCTGCAGAGGCTCATACAGAGGGGCAACACCAGGATGGAGTGTGGCACAGTTAGCTCTGAGCGCAGTGTCCCAGGGTCTAGACAATGAGGAGACAGGTCCCTTTTCAGTGAGCTTCCTGGTAGCTTTGCAGTAACTTCCTTTCACTCAAGCAAGTCCGAGAGGCTTTCTATATCCATCCGAGGGAATGAAGATGGGAAAGAGGATGTGGGGTCCCTAAAGATCTGCAGATGGGCAGCAGAAAAGAAGCCTAAGGAGGAGACAAGGGCCCCGCTGCAGTGACCACAGAGGCTGAGAGGAGAGTGGAGAAGAGGCTGCGTCCAGGGGCACAGGGTTCCACAGCAAGGTTAACACAGCCTCGGCAAGAAGTGCTCCAGAGGGGGGAGTCTGGTTCCAGTTGGAGGAAGGGAGTGGGGAGAAGGCAGACACTGACTACGGCTCTAAGGAGGAAAAAGAGGACAGGAGCTTTACAGGAAATTAGAAAGAGGGCTTTGTGAGTTTGAGTTTTGCCTTTTTTTAAAATTTTGTTTTGTTTTTTAAAAAGATACGAGAAGCTCCATAGCTATAAATAAATCCTGTCTACCTGGCAGAGTGAGGCACTGTGAACCTTTTTTAGATCAGGCTGCTGCCCTATTCTGGAATCACAAATAAAGCCAATTGAGAAATGCAAAACTAAAACAACCATCCTCAAACAAAAACCCCCAAAAGATGAGAGAAGACATGATGTATTTGCATGTACACAAAACAGCATGAGTTTCCTGGGGGAAATTCAAGTCATGTCAGAGCAGGGTCTGGTCTCAGACAGGAGGGAAGATGTGGAGACACGGAGAAGGATCTCCTGTGTAAGGAGTCCATGGACACAGGTGCACCTTTTGGGTGAAAACTGCTCTTTTTTCCCTTGGTGTTATATATACATACATGTACACACACACGTATACGTAAATATATGAATGAAATGCTTGAAAAATTATGGTTGAGTGTCAACAGTGAAGGGGGAAGACTGGTTTAGAAAACACACAAGAATTCTCGGAGTTCAGCTGAATCAGAAACCTGTCAAGTGTGGAATCAGCTGAAGACTCTTACTAAGATACAGCTTAATTCAAGTTATAAAACCAAATCCAGGGCTAGGGATTGTAGTTTGGTGGTAGAGCATGAGGGTCTAAATTCAATCCCAAGTACTGCAACAAAGCCACGCAACCAGTCAAAACTGGAGCAGTTCTAAGAAGCATGAAGGAATGCCCAAGGGCTCTGAGCACAGCCTTTAGAGCAGGGTCTCTTCAAATTGTTTTGTTTTGCACAGATTTTTGATGTTTCAAAAATCAGAACACACCACCAGGTGTGGCAGCACACACCTGTAATTCCCAGCACTAGGGAGGCTGAGGCAGGAGGATCGATGCAAGTTCAAGACAAGCCTGGTTTACATAGTGAGTTCAAGGCCGGCCTGACCTACATAGCGAGGCCTTGTCTCAAAACAACAACGAACAGAGCCAATTTGAGACATTGCTGGTAGGACTGTGAAATGCACAGCCCTGTTGATTTGGAAATATCTATCAGAATTACAAGTCTATTAATTTATCCCACAGATGACATTAGGTAAAAGGTTATTTATTGCAGCAGTGGTTGCAAGCAGAAGACTGGAAACGACTGCCCATCTTTGCCAGGGGTAAAGGGGGTAAGCTTGGGGCATCCACATTGAAATGCTGTGTCACTGAAAAAACTTGGGAGGAAACATACGTAATAAGGAAAGAGCTATAAGACAGAGTGTCAGTGAAAAAAGCAAGATGGACAGCTAAGCATATATATTTGTTCATTTTTGGTACCGGGGATCAAGCTCAGGACCTTGCGCTTGTGAGGCAGGCAGCAGCACCACTGAGCTAAATATATATTATTACAAGAATATATATTTGTACCCCTTGTACTTGTATAAACAAACACTGGAGAAATAAACGAGAAACTCAGATGGGGCCAGAGCTCCTGATGTTTCCTTGTGTCCTGATGTTTTTGTTGCCATTGCCTCCCACCCCATTCTCACATTGAGATTTCTGCCAATCTGAGAGGTTAAGAATAGTTATCTTAGTGCACCTTCAATAAGCATTTATCTTTTTTTGTGGGAGAGAAGAGGTTCAAATCAGGATCTTGCTAAATTGTCCAAGCAAGTCTCAAACTTGTGATCCTTCTGCTTCAGCCTCCTGAGTGCTGAGATTATAGGTACCAGCCACAGTACCCTGCTAACCTCTATTGAAGACAGGCTGAGGTGTTTGTGTGTGCATGTACATGCGTGTGTGTGTGTGTGTAACTGGGGACTGAACCCAGGCATCTGTACTAAACTACATTCCCCAGCCCTTTTTTTAATTTGAGGCAGGGTCTTACGAAGTTCCTAAACTGAGCTCAAATTTATGATCCTCTTGTTGCAGCCTTCCAGAGTTCTGGGATTACAGGCACATGCTACCCACACATGGTGAGTCTGGACATCTTTCCATATGTTTTAGGGTCATTTGTATTTCCTTCTCTACAAACCACTGGTTTGTATTCTTTGCTCATTTTTCTTCTGCGGCTGTCAAAGCTCTTTACTTGGGGTTTGTGACATTCTCAGGGAGTCGTCACTCAGATATGATTAAGAATTATAGGGGAAAAAAAGATCAGCTTGCTCTAACCCAATACCTATCTTGTGGCATACAGAGTTTATTTCAAAGATTTTTAAAATAATTATTAAAGCTTAAATACACATACTGAAAACTGTACATATACATTACCATTTGATGGAGTTTTACAAACTGGACACATTTCTATAACCAGTATAGATTAAGATACAGATATTACCAGAACCCCAGAAGCCCTTATCAATACAACCTTGCAGTCTCCAACACACAGGACTCTTTATTCTTCTGTAGCTTTACTTTTTTATTCTATTTTTCCACCTTAAATCTTTCTGATGTTACCATGTAGTTTAAACTGCAAAGTTCAAATGAATAAAATTTTTTTCCTTAAATTCTTTTATTGGTACATTTTAGGCATACATTTACATTTATTGGGCTGGGGATTTAGCTCAGTGGTTTCGCTGCCTGCTGCGCAAGCAAAAGGACCCAAGTTCAATCCCTGGTACCAACAACAGCAACAACAACAAAAAATACAGTTACATTTATCACTGGGTACTTGTACCTGCACATGATGTATCTTGGTTCTTATTTTTTCTCCCTTCCCTGTGCTCCCTTCACCCCCTCCACCCTTCCCTATTTACAAAGACTTTGTTTCCATTTTTTCCTTTTCTCATAATTTTTCCTTTCCCTTCCCCTTCCCCTCCCACTTCCCCTACCCCTTTGGACCTTTTCTTCCTATTTCAAGTTATCAATTATTCATTTTAATCCTTATCAAATGAATAAAAATTTGAATAAGGCATGGGATTCAAGAACCTTTGGCTCTTCAAGTTGCGCTCATAGTGCGCCCCCTGCTGGCCATCAGTAGCTACCAGGAAAAGGGCCCTTCTGGTGTTCCGAGAATGAACTGGAGTTCAGCTCCAGGTGTGAGGCCAGGTCATTCGTAAAGGCATCACAAAATTCCCCTTCATTCCATAGTCTGTTCCTCAACATTTCAGGAAATCAGCTATTAAAATCACAGACTACATGGCCGGGGATTTAGCTCAGTGGTTTCGGCGCCTGCCTTGCAAGGACAAGGTCCCGAGTTCAATCCCCTGTACCAAAAACAAAAACAAAAACAAAATTACAGACTACAAAAAAAATAAAGGACTACAGTATCATATCTGGACATGATATTTCATATCCTTTGGAGGATATGAAAAGAATGGCAGGTATGTGTGGTGAATGTTTTAAATAAAAAATTTTTAAAGTATTATTATTTTATTATTATATGTTTTGGAGACAGGATCTCCAATACACTATGTAGCTCAGGCTGGTCTCAGACCCGCGGCAATCCTCTTGCCACAGCTTCCCAAGTGCTGGGATTACAGGCATGTGCCACCATGCGCAGCTCTAAAATAATTATTACCCTAAAAGACACATTGTTATTAATTCTCCTTAAAATACTACCCTCTTCTTTGAACACACTTATCCCATCATTCTTGTTACTTTCTGAAGCAGTTCTGGAAATCTTTTATGAGTGTCTTTCTGTAGCTGCTTGGATGTCCCGAATTGATTCAAAACATTTACCACAATTTTTATCAAATACAGTGGTACTTTGGTTCATGAATTCAATTCTCTGCATAATTCTGGTCACAAACTGAACTCGACGAGAACTGGATCAAATTTCCCCATAAGGACAATGTCAATATTGAACCTAACCACTGAATTTGATTCACTTCTCGTCCAATTCGGTTTGTGACCAGATCATAAAAGAATCAAGTTCATGAACCAAGGTACCATTGAAAAACATTTTTGTGTGACTTCATCGACCAGATCTGGCACCATGATGCAAGCATTTTTTTTTTTTTTTTTTTTTTGGTACCAGGAATCAAACTCAGGACCTTGCACTTGTGAGGCTGGCGCTGGAACCACTGAGCTAAATCCCCGGCCCTGGCACCATGAGACTTCTGGCTCTTCCCCTAAATAAAAAATGACCATGAAATCAAAGAAACCACAAAAAGACATAAATGGGCTTCCAGAACTGCTTCAGAAAGTGGCAAGAATTATAGGTCAAGTGTGTTCTGAGCAAGCAGAAGTATTTTTAAGGGAATTAACAGCAATGTCTTTTACTGTAATAAATTCTTTTTTTATTACGTTTATTGGTACATTTCAGGTATACATTATGATCACATTCATCACTGGGAATTTGTACCTGTACATGATATAATCTTGGTTCACCCTTCCACCCCTTCCTATTTAAAAGCTTTGTTTCCATTTTTCCTTTTCTTTTTTCTTTTCCTTCTTTCCTTTCCCCCACTCTTCCCCCAGCTCCCCTTCCCCTCTGAACCTTTTCTTCCTATTCACAATATCAATTATACATTTTGGTCCTCATTTATACTTTGCTTCTCACACCAGAGAAACAATTCGGTATTCACATGAGTGTCCTATTTATTTCACTTAAGAGTACTGTCTCAAGGTCCATCCATTTAGCTATAAATTTCTCTAAGTTTATCATTCTTTATGGCTGAGTAGTACTCCATTTTATTTTAAAAAACCACATCTTTATTCAGTCACGAGTTGATGGGCATTTGGGCCATTTCCAAGATTTAGCTATTACAAACAGTGCCGCTATAAACATGGACATGCATATATTGCTGTGGTATGATGCTTTTCATTCTTTTGGGAAGATACCCAGCAGGAGACTAGCTGGGTCAATGGGACTTCTAATCCTAGTTTTTTGAGGAATCCCCACACTGATTTTCACAGTGGTTGCACCAGTCTACACTGCCACCAGCAGTGGAGCAGGGTTCCTCTTTCCCCACAGCCCCGCCAGCATGTGTTATTGGTCGATTTCGTGATAGCAGCCATTCTTTCTGGAGTGAAGTGGAATCTCAGCATTGTTTTCATTTGCATCTCTCATTTGCAGTTTCTACTTCTTTGAGAAATGTCTGTTCGTTTCAGATGCCCATTTTTGGACTGGGTCTTTAAATTTGGGGAGGATCTAATTTTTTAAAGTTCTTTATATATTCTAGATAATAGTCCTTTGAGGAACAGCTGGTAAATATTTTCTTCCCACATTGTGGGCTGTCTCTTCACTCTGTTGGTGGTTTCTCTTGCTGTGCAGAGGCTTTTTAATAAGATGAAACCACTGTTGCTGATTCTTTGTGCTAGTTCCCATACGAATGAGGTTTTGTTCATAAAATTTTTTCCTATGCCAATGTCTTCAAGAGTTCTACCTACCCTACCTTCCAGCAGGTTTAGTGTTTCTGTTTTAATATTTAGATCTTTGATCCATTTTGATTTGTTTAGTGCATGGCTAAATAAAGATATGGGTCTAGTTTTAATCTCTGGCAAGTTGAAGCCCAGTTTTTCCAGCACCATTTATTAAAGAGGCTATCTTTCCTCCAGTGAGGGTGTTTGGCTCCTTTGCCAAAGATGAGGTGGCTGAGTGTGTCCGGAGTTGTTCCTGCATCTCTTAATCTGTTCCATTGATCCTCAGGTCTGTTTCTTTGCCAGTACCATGCTACTTTTATCAGAGCAGCTTTGTAGTATAGTTTCAAGTTGGGGATTGAATTTAAACATTCACTGTTTAAGTCATACCATTCACCATTTAAATTATACTTTGTAGGGCCAGGGATTTAGCTCAGTGGTTCAGCCACCTGCCTCACAAGCACAAGGTCCTAAGTTCGATCCCCGGTACCAAAAAACCTCACCAAAAATAAATTAGACTTTGTATAAGCAGCTAATCTCTATTTGCCTACCTTTTACCTCTTCTACCGCAAAATAAAGATACAGCAGTGAAAGGCCCTGCTGCTCAAATCAACAACTGAAGGAATCAACAGTCTCCAGTTATGGTTTTTTTTCTCTGATTCTGGAAGTCAAACTTAGGGCTTCATGCCCTAATAAATTAAGTTCATGAACTGAGGTACCACTGTAAAATGATAAAGATTTGGCATGTCTTTAAATTCATTTAAATTGCCATTTAAAACTTTATCTACATCTAGTGGCTTTGATTAAACAAGCATTTTACAAATGAGATACATTTATCTATTGGGTAATAAGTCTATTTGCAGTTATTAACACTGTTTCCTAAATTTATAAGGGCTCTAAAGATGTCCTTTTTGTGAGTAGTCATAGCCTGTAAACCTGTTAAAGGAGCCTAAATTTTGCCAAGAGTAAAAACTAAGTAAATATATATAAAGATTTCTATATAGCTATGACACTAATTATTGTTAACCTCAAAATACATTAAATGTATTTGTATTTCCCAAGCGTACAGGCCTTCAAAGATGCAACACTTAAACATTTTATCATACTGGTGACTTCTGGACTAAAGGTGTTTATGGTGGTAAACTTTTTCAGACTCAAGCACCTGACTTTCCATTACTTGTGTTCCAGTTACTTGTGATGAAAAGTGCATGCCAATCCAGTATGAGACAGCCAGATATGTGAATACTTAGGCTTACATTTGTGTGACTGTTATATGATTGTGCTAGAACAGTTAAGAGGTACCTAAACACTGCAGTCCAGACGTCACTCTAATGATTACAGATTAGGCATTAATAACTTAAAAAGTGCATCTATAAACAAGTACATTCTACTTTATTTATTTATTTTTTGTTCCCGGGGATCGAACTCGGGACCTTTCACTTGCGAGGGAGACGCTGGAACCACTGAGCTAAATACCTGGCCCAGTACATTCTACTTTAAATGGCACGCTATCAAAAGATAACAAATTTAGGTAAAAATTTATGTCATTTAATATTTTGTAATTCGATAAAGGCACCTGACTAAAAAGTTATTTTATACTAAAATGAGGATTTAAATGTATTTTGAGATAAAACTCTAATGGTTCTAATATAGTAATGTCATCATGATATGTTACAATGCTATGCTTTCCTTAATCTCAAATTTTCCCTGTAAAGCTTTATAGTTGTTATCTGTTAACATTCAACAGAAATTTGACTTCTAAGACAACCATGATTAGTAAAGAAATAAGTTCTCTGGCCATACTTTATATTTTAAAGTGCTTGATATCCACATAAAATCATGATAGTTACACCTACTTCTTCCACTTCAATACTGGCATAACTGAATTCGTGGAAGTTCAACAACTGAGGCTTGAAGACCACACCTAAAAAAGATAATTGGGCTAAGAGGACAACCAACATTTTGGCCCTGGCCCTCCAAGGTCAATGAGGATCCAGGACCTGAGGCTCTAAAAAGATTCTACAACTTAGGAGAGTCACCCAACCTCCTGAGCAGAAAGATTGTTGGATCCCACAGGTCAGGAGTCAACCAAGGTACACTGCGCTCAAAGGAGGGTCACCAAAAAGGGAAATGTCTCCCATGCTTCCAAGAGAAGCTATATGCTCAAGGAAGACCGTGACTCATCCTAGCAGAGGACACTGACAGAGGTGTGGAGGCTTTACA